AAATGGAGTCTCACTCCTAACCTCTTAACGTGAAAAAAAAAAAAAATGATAGCCTCGCTCTGTCACCCAGACCGGAGTGCAGTGGCATGATCTCAGCTCACTGCAACCTCCACCGTCCAGGTTCAAGCGATTCTTCTGCCTCAGCCTCACAAGTAGCTGGGACTACAGGCACGTGCCACCACGACCGGCTAATTTTTGTATTTTTAGTAGAGATGGGTTTTCACCATATTGGCCAGGGTGGTCTCGAACTCCTAACCTTGTGACCTGCCCACCTCTGCCTCCCAAAGGGCTGGGATTACAGGCATGAGCCACTGTGCCTAGCCAACTTCTTAAACTTTTTGTTTGAAGGTAATTGCAAATTCAGTGCAGTTATAAGAAATAATACAGATCCCATGTTCCTTTCACCCAGTTTCTCCCAAAGCATCTTGCAGATGAAAGCACAATATCACAACCAGGATACTGACATTGATACAGGCAAGACATAGAACTTCCATCACTCAGGATTCTCCATGCTGCCTTTTTATAGCCATACCCACTCCCCTCCAGCACCCACCCACCTCCTTAGCCTCTGGTAGCCACTAATTTGTGATCTGTGCTCCATTTCTATAGTTTTGTCCTTTTCAAGACTATTATATAAATGGAATCATATAACATGACACCATTTAAGATAGGTCATTTTTCAATCAGCATAATTCCCAGGGGTGACCCAAGTGGTTGAGTGCCGCAGTAGTTCATCTACTCCCTTTTATCGCTAAGAAGCATCTCATGGTATGGACTTAGAAATGAATTTTTAAGTCCAGTTTTAAACACTGTGCAGGTTAAACATACTGTGTTTGTGGCTAGATGGGGCCCTTTGGCCCCCAGTGGGCACCTCTGGTCTGGAGGATGTTATTGGCCCTTCCAGCCTGGAGGGCCTAGGGCTGTGACGCCTGTGGCACTGGCCTTTCTCAGGTGCTCTCTTCCTCCATTCATTCCCATGTTTCTGGCTGCTGCTTGCCTGCTCTGTACTGTGCCCTCAGCTGAGCAGGTGTGGGTTGAGCCCCAAGAGTCCCCACTATTGGGAAGTGGCGGGAAGTCCTGACTCTCTATCTGTGACGGTGGCCTTGTGGGTGAGCACGTGTGTGCCCAGGCTGTGCTCAGACCTGGCGGACAGGGGCGTGCAGGGGCTGTGTGTGAAAGCTTCTCTCTGGGGACAGTGAAGGCTTGTTGAGGCCAGGGCAGCACAGGGAGGGGGCAGGGATGCCCACCAAGCCTCATCATGGGGGATAGGCGCTCCTCCTTCTTGATGCCCAGCTAGGGGACAGAGATCACGCAAGGTGCACCTGTCTATCTGGTTCAATCCTGAGAGATCAAAGCCAAAGCAGCCCTGTCCAGCCCTCACTAAATGGGCCAGGGAAGCCCCCTTTGCTCAGTCTGCCCCAGGGCCATTAGCCAGGTCCCTTTGCCATGTCACCCACTCACTCAAGTCAGGGGCTTCAGTCCCTCCATTCTGGTCCCCAGGACTCTGGGTCTTGCCCTAACCAAGGCCTGACCACTTAGAATGTACCCTATGGATTCTATAGCTTCTCCAAGCCCATTGCCCCTCTGCCCTCTGCCCTCCCATGCCCTCTGCCCCAGCTGTTAGACAGGGGAATGGTGAACACATCCCCTAACCCCTTTCATTCTTCCTCTCTTCTCTCTCTCTTTCTGTCTCTGTCTCTCTCTCTCTCTCTCTCTCTCTCTCTCTCTGTCTCTCTCTCTCTTTGTGCCACAGGGAAAGGTTTGAAACGGAACGTAACAGCCCACGTTTTGCCAAATTGCGCAACTGGCACCATGGCCTTTCGGCCCAAATCCTTAATGTTAAAAGCTAAAAGGCTGCCTGGAATCCCCCCACCCCGACAGGCCGGACTCCCTCCCTCCTTCCCCCCACACAGATCTGGCATGTGAGCCCCATGGTGATGCTTGACAATGTATAACTGTGCTGGGGGCACCTCCGATGGCGAACTGCAGCATTTTTGCCTTCTGCCCACCCCAGAGCCGATGCTGGGGCCCAGCCCCCTGCAGCTCTGCACCTCCCAACCCACCCCCAGGGCAACCCTCACTACCCCCCAAATAGCCTATAGTCTGAGCTCCTGCCCTCTGCACAGGGCCTTAGCTGTAGACCAGAGAGGGCATGAGGGGTTTGCTGGCGTAACACCCCAGAACCAAGGGAAATGGATGGGCTACTGCTCAGTTTCCCACCGTCCTTAGCTCCTGGCCTCATGTCCTCCTAGAATGAGTGACCTGTAGATCAGGGTCTGAGAAAGAGGCTGAACCCTAGCCCTGCCGGCTCCCTTGCTGCCCTCTGGAGCCCAGGTCAGCCCGGAATAGGGCTCTTTGAAGAGGAAGTGGAAGCCCCAGGGTAGATGAGGCAGAGACCCCTCCTGGCAGTGGTGAGATGGGGTCGTGCACCCTCCTTTCTGTACTGTGTGTGCTGGCTCCATAGTTCTCTCTTCTGTACATATAAGCATGCTTGTTCTGAAATAAAGAGGATTTGAAGTGAACCACACCAAGCCCCAGTCATGCTGTGCCTGTGTGTTTCCCACCCGAGAGGAGCTGTAAGGGCAGGATCTGGGACAGAGAGAGGACAGGCACCAGCAGAAAAGGGGCAGGGGCAGTGGCCACCAGTCCCGGGACCCAGCACAGCTCTGCTCCTGCTACTCTCCTACCCAACAGGTCCCGAGCCCAGCTGCAACCCAGGGTGGGAGGATGGTGGTGGAAATCTGTGCTGAGGTCTGTGGGCAACCTTAGTCACTCACAGGACAGCGTGTATGGGAATACTCGAATGCCCCCTGCCTCTCCTCCCACACCCAGCTGCAGCCAGCAGACTGAGCCATCGTCCTTCCCCGCCCCATCAGAAGGCACCTGCAAGTTGTTCTCCCAGGAAGGAGCTACTTATGCTTTGTCCTGGTCCAGAGGCGAGAGGAGGGTTCCAGTGGGCACACCTGGGCTAAGGAGCAGTTCACAAGGGAACTCGGGGGGCCAGGGCTGGGGCTTGGCAGAGTCTTGCTCAAGTGGCAGGAGGCAGGAGGGCTGTGAAGGCTTCCACCTGGGTCTTGCTTCCAGCTCCCACCTACCTGTGGCCGTATCCTAATCCTGAGCATTTAGGAAGGGCTAAGAAGAGCAGTAGCAGCCAAAAATATCCCAGCCAGGCCTCGGCTCATGTCCTGCTGAGCTATGAGCCACAAGCTAGCGCCCCATTCACCTGACCCAGTCTTGACCACTTAGAAAGTAGAAAGTACCCCATGGATGGCAAAGCTTTTCCTGGCCAATTCCATGTTACTTTCCATTGTGTGAAATCACAGGCTGAGGACATGAGAGCGGCAGCACTTACGTTAGAAGCAGATGCTGAGGCCCAGCCCTCAAAGCTCTCCTGCCTCCTCTGTGGCTGGACTGGCCAGACCCCTGCACCCATTCCTGCTGCCTGGGCATAGGCTTTCCCTCTGCCTCCAGGAACCTTAGCAATCCCACCAGGAAGGGTTGGTGTGGGAGGCCACTGTCTCCTGTCCATCCACCCTGAGATGCTCCCTAAAGCCCCCTGCCAACCTATTCTGGCCTCCCACCTCATCCTGCCTCCAGCAGTCTGATGCCTGCACCAGGCAGGCTTCATCCTCGCTGGAGGATTCCCAAGGGGAGGAAAGAAGGATAACTGCCTTCATCTAGGCTTCCTGGAGCACACCTATATTTGGCTGATGTTTTTCAGAGGACTTGCAAGGCCCAAGGGTGGGTTGGGGGCAGGGGCTGCCAGACAGAGTAAGGTCCTGGGCAGTGCGTATCCTGAGGCTGGCAGAGAATCTTAGCCAACCACTAAGAGTTGGTGGGTTCTTGGACCCCTGTTCCCAGTCCCCAGCCTGCCGGAGCCCTCTTGGAACCACCAGGTTGAACCCCTGCCTCCCCACCTACCCCAGATCCCTTCATGTCGTACCCTGGGGGACCCCAGGCTGGGTTTCATGTAAAGCCCTAGGTATAAGCAGGAGAGATGTCCTCATTTAGCATCTGATGTCTATGGGCATTTGTGGAGGTGCCTGACTGCTGTGGGTGCTAAAGGAATCGGAAAGGGCCGATGTGGCTGTGTTCCCAATGAGAAGTTGATCATGTATGGTCCAGAGACAGGGAGCATCCCTCCAACTGGTGGATCAAAGAAGGCTTCCTGGAAGAAGAGGTCAGTGTGTTTTTATCTTCAGGAATGGTTAGAATTAGAGTGGACACAGACACAAAAGGCTGGACAGATACTCTGAGCAGAATGAGCAGAGGTGCTGATGAGAAGTAGTGTCCCAGAACCCCAAGTTAATCATTTTGGTTGGAATGCAGAGAATGCAGAGGATGTCATGGTTAGTAGTGGCCTGCACCGAG